CTATAGCATATATAGAGAATTCTAAGATTTCAAGAATTTCAAAGCTGGACAATAAAAATATGAAGCAATAGGTTAAATTAGACTTCATCTAAATTTTGTGTTTAATAAGTGTGTTTAAAGTAAATAGTGTTTTTTTTTTATTTTATAGCATGTGAGTTGGATTTTGAGTGCATTTTGGATGTTATAAGCTAAAATTTCTATTTAAGGCTATCTCTTTGGTGAAGATAATGATAAGCGCTTTTCCCAAACACAATAAATCATTACAATGTTAAAAAATTTAATGTATATGAGAAATCAATAAAATTAACAATTTACCATGGTTGCAACTTTTTTGTAGCAAAACTAATGCAACACCCAAAGAAATGTTTTGCCTTTATTGTTGTATGTAAGCAACCAAAGAAAAAGATTCAAAAGATGATCTATAAAAATTCAAATATAAAAAGAAGGGGTTTATGAACAAAAATACATTATTTTTCCAATTGGTTAAATGTTTAGGATATTTGGGATTAGGTTTTTTTTTGTTTGAATAATTCACTTGGATAACCTCTTGAGATTTTTTATATCACTCATTGCAATCAAAATATGCCTATAAAACACAAGAAATAAGCCATAGTTGTGTGAAATGAGATACACTTGGTAATCTACAGTGATATGCCTTATATATACATGATATACACCATAAAGAAAATATTGTACATACAAATATGTTTTGATTGCTTACATAATAATTAAAAAGTGACTGTGTAATATTTTTGCATCAACTCAAAAAAAAAACCTCCACATATATGTAAATATATAATTCTTTTTCATATTTGTTGCCATAATTATCTAGTTGACTCTAAATTTTAAACATACAATATAAGTAAAGTGTTCGAATCCTATAACAGGTAGGATCAAATTTGTAATTTTTCAAATGAGGGGTATAAATGTAATTTTCCCTTTATTCTATTCTATTCTATAATGCCAAAATTAAACTGTTGTTAATCTCATTAACCCTTGGTTCCTAAATGTTATATAAGTCACCAAATGTAAAATGGATGCAAGATTTGTGTAGCAATGGTCAGCATTGGATCAATGCCTCTCCATTGCCTCTGCAATGCATCCAAATGGTGACCCAACATGCCCAGGTCAAACTCCAAGCCACCAGCAGCTTCTACAAGGAGGATCAGAAGAGCCCATTTAGCCTCCAGCCTTGGGAGAATGGATGACTATGCTTCCAATTCATGATTGGTAGGGCAAATTAAAGCTAGTGGGAGGATTTCCAATTGCAAGTTCCATGGCTGCATTGGTGTGCTTTATTTCCCCAATATGGACACCATGTATGAGAAATTCATAGAGATTTGCAACGAGTACCCAACCACACAAACGAGGAGGTGCTTTGCCTCCTCTCCCATCCAAGAACAAATATTTGCTTCTATTCCCTTACAGCATTTGCCCGAAGCGGCATTTTAGTGTTCTTCCTTTCTCTCTTTGTTTTCTCTTCCTTTACTTTGTCTTTGGGGTGGTTAGAATTTACTTTTTGGTTTGCTTAAGCAAACTTGAGGATATATCTAAAATATACTTGAATATTCTATGATATTCTACCATCTAACGGTTGCTATTCATTTAGATTAATCTTGTATTTATAATTTATATACTTTCTTGAACCCATCCTAGTATATTCTTTTTTATTCTATCATCTAATGGTTGATATACAATAAGATTAATCTTGTGTTTATAAATTACAAACATATTTATAATTATAAACTTTATTTAATCAATACTATTAAGTAAACCAAGCATTACATGCAACACGTAATAATTTATTAATAAATTATTTTTTCTAGTGGGTTTTATGAGCTCTTTTTTTGGTTTGTGGCATTTACATTTATTTGTTCTAGAATGCTTTTGGCATACCAAATTGTTTGATTTCACTCTTTTTGGCATTTAGATTTCTTAAAACTTTTCTTTTCTTTCATAGGCTTTGCTGTTGTTTTTCCTTGAACTAATGGATTCATTTAAATATTTTTTTAATTCTTTCAGCATACCAAAGTGTTTGCTTTCACTCTTTTGAATTCTATGAAGTTTTGCTATTGTTCTTCCTTGAACTGATGAATTCAATGTAAAAACATGTAAATCAGGTGGAGCAGGATGACAAGAAGAGGCTGCAGATGGTGTTGTTCCTCTAATTGACAAGGAAATGCTCAAGCATCACGCCAGAACTCTAATGCACAATTTTGCAGTGTTGATCCTCATGCTTTTGAAAGCCAAGTTCTTCTTGCGAAGCGATGCTCACAACTCCAATGGGCTCACACATCTTGCTCAGCTTTGAAGAGGTGATTGAAAGTTTTCTCTTGTGAGAAAGAATGAAATGCAATCATTGACTTTTCAAAGGTTAACAAAGCCAAATGCTAGAGGCTGGAGTGTGTCATAAAGACAATGGGAGATTACAGTCTACTCATTGGTTCTCCGGCCGATACTATCTCACATTATCAACACCACTATGGAGTTGTCAAGACACACTAGTGATTCACTTTGGAATGCTAGCTTTGAGTTTCAAATGATACATACCACCTGTATAGCTGAATGGCTTCGTAGTATTTATATTGCATTTCATCCTCAAGAAGTATGTCTGTTTCCACACTCAAGGTTATCTACACGCTTTATATGTCAGAAACAAAGTTAAAAGATGGCGAGAAGAACTTGAGATCTTGCAACAAGAGTGTGAATACTACAATTCTCACTTCTTCTTTTTTTTGGTCTTTTTCAGGTCAAGGCACAACTGAAACTGGCTCACTTCCTCTGCCAATAAAACCTTGTGGAATTTCTAGGAACTAAAGGAAGATGAGATTTTTGCTTTGGTGCATAGAAGGGAGTGTGGAAGGAGCTGACCAGGCTAGGCCATTCGTGGAGGTGGCTTGCACTCTTGTCTACGAGTGAAACTTTGCATTCTTCTCCCATCAAGTAGCCCATTACTATCAATCGCAAGAATCCATCAAAAACTGCTGCATTGGAACTTTTCTTGCTCATTGCCAAATCCTATGGCATGGGAGTATGTTAACAACTCTTCAATCAAGGTATCTGAAAAAAATTCTCCTGCACTTGTGTATCTAACTCATATGTGCTCTTTCTTCCTTCTCTCCAGGAGGAGAACAAGCTCTAGAAGCTCGGAGATAGCCAAGGAGAAGAACAATTTGCATTATGATTCCTAGGTGGAAATTGCATTCCGACGATGTATCCCCAGCTGAGATGTTAAAACTTGAAATGCCTCACTCAAAAAATATGGGACTATTGTCCAAGAGAATCCACTCTGGATAGAAATGCACTATAAAGAATTAACTCACCAAAATGCCATAAACTAAAGGAGCCTTTGAAATCATAATCAAAACAATAAAAAGTTTATTAGATAAGATTGAGTATAAAATTGAGACCAAGTTTGTAATCAAGTCTGAGAACGAATTTGAAATCAAGGCCAAGATTAAGTTTAAATACCAATACAAGTTGTGGGATGAAAAGCCCAAAGCAATCATCCCCTCACATAAATATTGAAAGAAACTGTTAATTTAATTATTAAAGTTAAAAAAGATTATTCTGCTGAAATAACATTCTATTATGAAAGTATAGGTTTAGAAAATATTTTACTTAACAATTCAATGATATACATATAAATTTTTCAATTTTTTTAAAAAGTAAGACTATAAAGTTATGATACAATATAGTTTAATTAAGGATACAAAACTTTATTTACAAAATTATTATCTAAAATTTCAAGTTCTTTTTAGTACATTATATTCCTTTTGCTAGTCTTTATTCTATCAAATCAGTACTTTATACTAATAATGTTTTAGTTTTTCAAATACTAAAAATGTCTTAATTTTAGAATAAAATTGTAATCTTAAGGTGTATTAAAAAATCTATGTGAATTAGGAGATATATATATATATATATATATAAAACTTATATAATTACATTTTAGTTTATAACATGATGGTAATCTAGTTTTTTATCATGGTAAAAATGTTTTATGGGCTACTAACACATATTGCTTAAAACAATCATTTTGTTTGCTATCAACAATCCAAATAATTTTTTTTGGGCATTAGAAACTTCAAAGCATGTTTTATGTTCTTTATAATATGTTATTGACAATATGTATGCTATTGTGTTAAATTTTTGGACTTTGCATCTGCAAACCCAAATGGTTATTTAGGGCATCAAGCTGTAACATTAAAAAAAGCAAAAGAGAATCTGATTTAAACTTCACCTTTTTGGGTCTCTACTTTGCAACGGGTTTAAATGTGAGGTGCTCATATACTTGGACATGGCTTTGGCCAAATCCGTTGCCGTATATGATTAATACATATACCAAGAGTGGGTATTTAGAAGAAGCTAAAAATATATTTGATTCTATGCTGGGCTACGTTAGCAAGTTTTTTCACATTTTTGTTGTTTAGAAGATGCTGACAAAAAAAAAAAAAAAAAAAAAAAAAACCTCGCATTTTCAGCAGAATTTGTCCGACATAATGCTTGAAGACTCTGAAGACTGGGAGACATGAAACGAAACGGGAGAGCTTTCACGCATCACGACGCCCATTCTTGCTTCGTGACAAGCGTAGCGTCTCCACTCCTGGATTCCACTCCGCGAGTGCCTGCAATGGTAGTCCAAGTTACTTCGTTAGCTTCAAAGTTCCAGCGCTTCGTCATACCTTGAACCCGCTGGTTAGCTCTGCTGAGAAGATCGACAACGCAGTGGAAGTGTTCCACTTCGGGGACGATGCCGTATCTGGATGGCATTTCGTGGAAGAACTTCTTCCCTGCAGCTGGTTAGAACTGCGAGAGCTGTGATACCATTCGGTTTGATGCCAGAGTTTACCATCTCGTGAAACAGCGTCAGTGCTTGGCTTGCGTCCCCTTGCCTGCCGTATCCGGTGATCAGCGCACTCCAGGCCTCGTCACCATCTCCCGCTAGCGAGTCAAATACCTGGCGAGCGGAAACCATGTCTCCCGCTTTGCCGTGAAAGTCAACCAGGGATCCAGCAATCTCCATCTTCCTCAAAGCTTCCACGGTAGATCAGAGCCTTGACTTCGCTCCCAAAGCCTAGACTCGAAGGAATACTGTTGCTGCAAGCTTTCAGTACCGCGACGTTCGTTGATGCGTTTGGTCGGCAGCCTTCGCGTCTCATCCTGTGGAACAGCCTCAAAGCTCGTCTAGCATCGCCGTTCTCCGCGAAGCCCAGGATCAAGACGTTCCACGAGACCACGTTGCGAAGCTGGCCGGTATTGCTCGAGAAAACTTTGCTGGAATCCGCCAGACTCCCACACTTGGCGTACGCATCGATCAAGCTGCTCGTCACGTAAGCATCCCACTCAGAGGCTTCCAGCTTCGTCACAGCTTCGCGGTGAACAGCCATGGTGATTTCCAATGCTCTCATTCGATCGTTTTCCTTGTTCTTAGCTGCAAGACTGCCGCAAGCCTTGAAAGCCGCGACGACTGTCAAGCTGGTTGGAGAAATACCACCATCGCCACCTTCGCACAAGAGAGCCTCAAACAGCTCTAGAGCAGCCTCACTTTCGTCGTTCTGTGCGTATCCCGAGATCACTGCGTTCCAGATAACAACGTCGCGATGCTTCACACGGTCGAAAACTCTGCGAGAATCGGCCATGCTCCCACACTTCCCATACATGTCGACCAAGCAGTTTGCCACGTACAAGTCTTCCAGATCAGAGCCTCGCTCTGATACCAGCGAGTGTACCGCCATTCCTGCTTCCAGCGACCTCAGCTTCACGATCTTCCCATCGACTTGCCTTCCCTGTTCTTGAGTCGAGAGGGTACAACAAGCCTTAAGCGCAGCCACCAAAGTCAGCCTGTCCTGTACGCAGCACCGAGAGTGTAGCAAATCTCCAAAGAGTTGAAGGGCCATCTTTCCCTCATCGTTCTCAGCATAGCCCAGGATGATCGTGTTCCAGGAAACCACATCCCGGCGCTGCATCTTATCGAAAACTCTCCTCGCATCCACCATGCTTCCACAGTTTGCGTACATGTTGAGAAGAGCGTTGGCCACGAATATGTTTGAGTCACATCCCAGTCTCTCGGCTGTGCCGTGGATCGCCACACCCGTGACTAGAAACCTGAGCTTCTCCTGTGGATTCCGAGCTTCTTCCTTGGCTGCGAGATTGCTACAGGCCTTGAGAGCAGCAACAACACTCCAGCTATCGAGCTGACAGCCTCGGCACGACACCATCTTCGTAAACATCTCGAGAGCTAGCTCCTCGCTCTCACCACCCTGTGCGTAGCCGAGCATCAATACGTTCCACGAGACCACATCCCGAGTTTTCATCCTGTCGAAAACCTCTTGAACACGCACCATGCTCCGGCACTTCACGTACATGTCGATGAGAGCATTCCCCACGTAGACGTTGCGATGGATAGCATCTATTCCCATCCCAGCCTCGGCCTGACGATGAACTTCCATGCCTCGTTGCAGCGAAAAAACTTTCACCATCCTCCCATCAACTTTCCGGCCTTCTTCGGCAGCTGCGAGAGTGGAGCACGCAGCGAGCGCAGCGGCAAAAGTTCGTGAGTTTGCTCCGCAGCACTGTTGCATCGATCGAAAGAGCTGCAAGGCCACCTCGGCCTCGCCATTCTCCGCATAGCCCGAGATCAAAGCGTTCCAGCACACGGCGTCGGGGCGAGGAATCCTGTCGAAGGCCTGCTGTGCTTCCACCACGCTCCCACACTTCATGTACATCGCCACCAAGCTACTGGCTACGTGAGAGTCCGAATCCACACCACTTTCTCTCGCGTTCGCGTGGATTTGCGGGCCACTTTCGACTTCTCTAGCTCTGGAGCACGACTTTAGCGCCGCGAGGCAAGCGCTTCTCTCGAGCTGATGAGCGTTGCCGGTAGTACCATAAGTTCTCGTATTGGCTGGGAGAACTTTAGGATCCAGCGAAGTCCTGGACAGCATAGCGAATGGTTTTGTCACTAGGATAAAAAATGTTTGGCTCTACCTTCCAGCATCAAAGCATTCGAAATTTTTCCTTCATTGATTCGAGACATCGTGAAGAGAGTGTTTGCTCCCGTTCTTTCCATCCAGATTGTTCTAGAGTTTGGCAATCCTCGATGCTAGAAATCAGGTCCTGAACTCCGTCCTACATTGCCGAGAATCTCATTCTAGCAGCTTACCGGATCGGCCAGGGCGAAGCAGCGCCCTCGCGCGCGCGATGCGATGCGATGATAAACCCTAGAACTTATTTGGAATCAATGAGCTTTGAATTTATTGCGCATTGACAGAGTTGACTCTTTATTGACTTGCATTGACTAGGGGGCTCATCTTATTTGGGTGGGAAGAAGATGGCGTCGTTTGTCCTGCGAGACCGCAGCTCCTTCTCAACTCCATCTTCCACGTTAAAAGCCGCGCAAATCGTTTTGGGCGACAAGCTCTTGATCACGCCAGTTCTTCCAGCGAGATGAGAGAACACTGGCCTGTTTTTCCAGCCAAAAATTGGGTCGATCAGAACCTCTGAAGGAAAAGAAGAGAACTTACTTCTCGGTGGTGATGATCGAGAACCATTCCATTCCATTTTCTCCTGCTCGCTTTGAGACGACGTGGAATCGTGGGACGATAAACAGGCAGCCGGGCTCCAGCATATGATCGATAACTCTCTCGCCATTTTGGTTCACGACTTGGACTCGACCGCTTCCACGGACAATGTAAGTGACTTGGTACGCGGAGTCGGAGGAAAATCCTGGCGAGCACATGGCATGCTGCAAGAAATTCACGAATGTGATTATAAGATCCAAGCGATCAGCTAAAACTTACCGGATCAAGCTTGACGAGATCAGCGCCAAGACTGACGTGCTTGAAGATCGGCAAGCTATCGCTGGAAACCACGGAAACTCTGCCTCCGTTTTTTATATCCACGTCGAGCTTTGCCTCCTCGCAGTTGTAAGCAAACTCTCCATAGGGAGAGTTGCTCAAATCGGTTGTCTCCGGCATAGAAATGCCTTCCTTGAGCAAAACAATCCTCTCCTCCTTCTGGCTATTCACCGTTTCTTCTGGGACATCCCATGCTTGGGCGATAAAGTCCGGAGTAAACCTACAATCGGATTGATTAATCAGTGTGTCACAACAAGACCTTCCATTTAGATGAAAAGAAAATCCAAGTAGAACTTACAGTGAATTCTCCAGATTTGAGGCTTTTGCTCGTGTCTCCGAGACACAAAACACTAAACTTCGAAGTGCCAGAGTTAAACGACCAGTTGACAGTGCCGTGAGGAACAGACGCATTCGTCGGGACTCTCCGCAAAAGTCAGTCCATTTCCTGGACGAAGACCGGAATTTTAGCACGCATGAGAAGAAAATTCACATCCTAGAAAATCAATCGCTTACCTTCGAGCACATAAAAGATCTGATTAGAATCGGAGTATTTCGGCATCAGCAAGCCCCTAGGATTGAGACTGAAGCGCGACGCCCCAACCCGAGCTTCCTTCAACATCTTGGAGTGGGCGCTGAGCCAAAACTCGTAATTCCCGCCATCGTTGGCGCAGAATCTCGCATTGGGAGATTGTGGCGTGAGATCGACATCCAGATGAGCTGCGGCCATCGCAAGAACAAACCCAGCTATTCATATAAGGACGTCGACAACGGACGGTTGGGATTCCTCTCGCGACATGCTTTGGCCTTAACCTAATCGCTAAACGTGAATTTAATTACCAAAATGTTCTATAGAATAAGCCACTGTCCTTTCCGTATTATTTGAAAAATCATATTCCATGATATCGAGCGATCATTTTCTATTCACGTTGTAATCGTATCCAGACGGGGAGTACGTCCATGGGAACGCTGCCGGATGTGAGAGTTCACACTTTCACAACTCGATTGTTTCTCCACTTTGACCATATACCAAGCTTGCAGAATGATCGGAGCAAAACAACCATTTCTCATATTTGCAATGCCATCCTTCTTGGAAACACAAGCTCCAGCTTGATATATCTCATCTCTAGTAGCAGTATTCTGGTTAAAGAGTTAAACATTCCAAACTTCAAGACTTACCGATGTACATTCCACTCTCAAAACCGTAACCAGAGTCCTTAATCCTTGAAGTCGTCGGAAGCCATGCTCGGTTTGAGTTTCATCAGAGTCATCAATAGTCCTGCCGACACATTTAAGACAAAACAAAAAAGATGAAAGATAATTAATCAGAGCCACAAGGTTCCAAAAATGTGGAAAGAATAAGATTTACTTCAGCGTCAGCTAGTAAGCTCTCAAGATGATCATCATCGCCTCCAGCTAACCTTGGCGTTCCACTTTGATAATGCATTATCATTTCATAAACTTCATGAGGTGATATAGCAACCCTTGGAGTAGTATTTGGTTTTATGATTTTGTAAAGGTCCAGCGTTAACGCTCCATGCACCATGATTCCTCCAGCTCTGTAAGAACTGCTTGGATACACAAGGAGACGCACTCATGAATTCAATAGAATTGTTGAGACTTACACTGCAGCGTCCAGTGATGTGTCAATAATCTCTTCCATGGCAGCACGCAAAGCATCCGGATCCAGGGATTTGTTGTCCCCAATCTTGTCACCAGCAATAGCAGTCGCCACTTCCTCAAGCACTCGAACGAATGGTTTCTTGCAACAAAACAACTGTGGTTGTGTTTGCTGGGAAGGACATCAATCTTTCGCTGCTTACTTCTTAGATCGCAACAAGATATCACAAGATCGACAGACGAAGCTGGATACATGCCAAAAAATGCAGCTTTGATCCTGGCATTGATAATGTTGCGAACGTCCTTCTCGGTCCAGGCTAGAGCACTGTCTCCAGCAACGATTCGGATCAAGCTCTGGAAGAAGAGTCGCATAAACCGGAGCCACACATTCTCACGTTCGGCAGCATAAACTCCTCGCGAGGCAAGTACAACAGACCATGGATGTATTCCCCATCTGGATACGTACCAGACGAGTCCTTTGAATACTTCGTAGAAAAGTAGTTAATCTTTTAAGCTTTTTGTTGAAGTTATACTTCTCATTGGTACTGCAAGAGATCAATCAGAATGACAACCAAAAAGCTCAAAGGAAACACACAATCTACTCACCTTTGCTGCAAAAATATTGGAGCAAAACGAGCCTTCTTCATATTTGCAATGCCATCCTCCTTGGAAACATGAGCTGCAGCTTGATAAATCTTACCTCTTTAGCAAATTCTGGTTAAAGAACAAACCAATTGGCATGCTAGCAAAAGTGAGTTCAAGTACTGATCTTGTTAATTTTGCACACGGTTGAAAGGTGAAGAGAAATGCAGAAGCTATGATGGACAAGGATGACTCGAAGGATAGTCATATATAATGTTATAGATATATCTACATGGTCAAGAGACACGCCTCTAACCTACACCTGGATCAGTGAAGTGGCACTACTGCCACCTAAGATCATGTCATAGAGAGTGTATACTTCAACAAAAGAGCCATCCATTTCGACAGTGCTGGGCTTTGTGCACGAAACCACTATGATGGTGAGCCACTACAATGTGTGGCCATTCCTCAATTGCAAGTAATACTCCACACACTGCTTGGAGAACTTGTCTAGGACCAGCTTGGGAAGCTCTGGAAGCCAATGTTTCATGGCTAGCAGCTGTGTTTATTGCTCAAAGCCCCTTTTCATATAAGTTTGCAGGGGTAAAAGATGGTAACTCCACACTTGCCTTTTGGGCAGCAAATGTGGAAGAACTTACATGGAGCCCAGTAACAGCAACATTCTTCTCCTGCCTTGCATAGTTGCGTATAGCAGCGTTGCCTTGGCGGAGGCGGTGGTGGAGACGGTGAAGGTGGCGGTGGAGATGGTGAAGGTGGTGGTGGTGGTGGAGGAAAATGTGACGGAGGCGGCCCTAGCTCTGTGGGATAAAACACGTTTATGTAAATCCCACACCGTCCACCAAAGATATTCGAATTGCGTTCTAGTTTCATGTATCCATTCTCCCCCCACTCAGTTCCCCACGAATTTTTTATGATCCAATATTTGTCTCCATTTTCGGAACCATAGCCCACAACCAGCACTGATAAACTTCCAGATTCGGCACAGGGTCCTTTGTAAATCCCCTAGGACGGATTAGGCACGTCATTAGTCAATGTGATCATAGACTTGGATTAGAACAAACTTACTCCAGCATAGCTCTTGAACTCGGCCTTTGAGCCATCGATAACAGCAGTCAGTGGCTGATTGTGTATTGCCTTCAACATGTTTCTTTCGATTGCTTTGTCTGTTCCTTCAATGCTCTCAAATTCTTTTAGAGAAACTTTGCCTTGTTTTTCCTGCAAATTCGCAAAGCTTTTAATAGCGGCATTGTAATAAATTCATACCTTGTGCTTGCAAGCTCCAGCTTCCCCAACAAAGGGATAATCAGCTGCTGCTGCAATGCTATGAGTCCGTGCGTATTCGAAAGCGTCACTGGGAGAGCCACTTCTGCATCCCTTGGCTTTCTTAGTGCAATCTAGAAACTCCTGCGCTGAAAAATTAGCTAGACCTCCAAAGAGTATCTTATTGAGACTTGAGAGTGAGTCTCCTGTTGCAAAAGCCCAAGTACCTCCTGCAAGGAAAACTATTATTTAAACAAGAAATTCATCAGCATACCCAGACAGGATCCAACGTTTTTAATAGGAGTGATCGCACCCCTCTCCCTCCAGTCAAAAGATTCGAGACTTTTAGAGTCACCATCAGCAAAATCGTCAAGAAAGGATGTGGCTACAGGCAACCTAATGTCATTGACACCAAGGGACATTTTCGTTTCAAACTCGTCACTACTGATGTCTGAAAATTGATTCAGGCCCAGGGTGTATGAGGACACAAGACTGTTGGCATTGTGATCTAAAACCATTTGGAGGTTTTGCTTGAAGATTTCATATCTTCTAGCCTCCTCCTCCTGGGATGAATACCCCTTGTTGTGATAGAGACGCCATCTATCGAAGAGGGGCCTCACAAGCTGCTCGGATGGGAGCTCCAGGGCTGAGAATTGGAACTGTTGAGTCACTTGCAAAACGAAAACCAGCAAGAGAAAGTAGGGGTAGGGAGCCATTTTGCAATGTGCACCGTTTTAGAGTAGAGGAATTTATATTGACTGTCTTCACTCACAGCAACAAACTTAGTGGTTTATCTTGGAGACAACGAGGATGATAACAATGTGTATGGCTCAAGCTTGAGAGAAGTTGACTGTGCGATATGAAAAAGCATTAACACTCCTAACTGGACAGAAGAAAAGCCTCTTACAAATTGATAGGGCACCCAATCATCACCCACTTCTCTGAATAGCATTAATATGTATGTTATCACCCGAGTACTAGGGTGATAACAACCTGAGTATGTCTCATTGCAGGTACATTGCTGGTGAATAGTTGTCAAGGCATTATATATAAGTTCCACATAACAATTCTCAGGAGGGACTACTACACAAATCTCTCTCTCTCTCTCTCTCTCTCTCTCTCTCTCTCTCTCTCACATAAAACTAATTGCACAAATTGAAAGAGCTTGAGTTTTAAATTAGAACCTTTATATTTTTTTATACTAAGGATTGTATGTATCTGGCTACTAGTACTAGGGTGATAACAATGTTTGTATGTCTCAATGCACGTACATCTTTGGTGAATAGTCATGAAGCCATTATATATAAGTTCTAAATAACGGTACTTGGGAGGGACCTCTAGTTTGTCCTTTTCTAAGTACTAGGGTAATAACAATGTTTGTATGTTTCAATGCGTGTATATCTTTGGTGAATAGTCATGAAGCCATTATATATAAGTTCTAAATAACGGTACTTGGGAGGGACCTCTAGTTTGGGCATCTTGTGCACAATTCCTTTTCTAGGCACATATCCTTAGTATAAAAATATATAGAAGTTTTGATTTGAAACTCAAACTTTTTCAACCTGTATAATTAATTCTTTTATTCTCATATGGATTTTGCATTGGCACTTGTTTCAGCCACAATATCTATGTTCCCCTCAAATGTTTTTGTTATCCAACAGAAAATCAATCTAATAAGCTATGCAATCACCTTGAAACGATCTCTTTTTGTAAAGAAGTGAAATATTTTTATATTGTGAATCCTTTAGGAGTAGTCATAGATGATATGAGTGACGCAATTGGCCTCAAGGTCATCCGTCAATGTCACAATTAATGGTTTATTTTGGAGACAACGTATGTGTGTGTGGCTCAAGATTAAAAGAAGTTGGTGTATATATCTTGTTATTTTGAATTATAATGTCCACTCATGTAGTCCGCTGTTGACAATCTAATTGAATTATAGGAAAGGGGTAAAAAAATTTAAAAAATGCTGGATAGCAAAGAAATCTGAGATGAACATAGATTTTGTGGCCGAAACAAGTGCCAATAGAAAATCAAGGGTGAGAATAAAATTAATTGCACAAATTGAAAAGGCTTGAGTTTTAAATTAAAACCTTTATATTTTTATCCTTTAGGAGTAGTCATAGATGATATGAGTGACGCAATTGGCCTCAAGGTCATCCGTCAATGTCACAATTAATGGTTTATTTTGGAGACAACGTATGTGTGTGTGGCTCAAGATTAAAAGAAGTTGGTGTATATATCTTGTTATTTTGAATTATAATGTCCACTCATGTAGTCCGCTGTTGACAATCTAATTGAATTATAGGAAAAGGGTAAAAAAATTTAAAAAATGCTGGATAGCAAAGAAATCTGAGATGAACATAGATTTTGTGGCCGAAACAAGTGCCAATAGAAAATCAAGGGTGAGAATAAAATTAATTGCACAAATTGAAAAGGCTTGAGTTTTAAATTAAAACCTTTATATTTTTATCCTTTAGGAGTAGTCATAGATGATATGAGTGACGCAATTGGCCTCAAGGTCATCCGTCAATGTCACAATTAATGGTTTATTTTGGAGACAACGTATGTGTGTGTGGCTCAAGATTAAAAGAAGTTGGTGTATATATCTTGTTATTTTGAATTATAATGTCCACTCATGTAGTCCGCTGTTGACAATCTAATTGAATTATAGGAAAAGGGTAAAAAAATTTAAAAAATGCTGGATAGCAAAGAAATCTGAGATGAACATAGATTTTGTGGCCGAAACAAGTGCCAATAGAAAATCAAGGGTGAGAATAAAATTAATTGCACAAATTGAAAAGGCTTGAGTTTTAAATTGAAACCTTGATATGGTTTTATGCCAAAGATTGCATATATCTGGCCACCAATACTAGGGTGATAACAATGTTTGTATGTCTCAATGCACGTACATTTTTGGTGAATAGTCATGAAGCCATTATATATAAGTTCTAAACAACAATACTTGGGAGGGACCTCCATGTGCACAATTCCTTTTCTAGGCACACGTTTTTTATATGCAATCCTTAGTATAAAAACATATAGAGGTTTTGATTTGAAACTCAAACTCTTTCAACCTGTGTAATTAATTCTTTTATTCTCACATGGATTTTCCATCGGCACTTGTTTCAGCTACAACATCTATGATCCCCTCAAATTTTCCTACTATCCAACAGAAAGTCAATCTAACAAACCATGCAATCACCTTGAAAGGATCTCTCTTGGTAAAGAAGCAAAATAGTTTTGATGTTGTGAATCCTTTGGGAGTAGTCACGGATGCTGTGAGTGAGGCAATTGGCCTCAAGGTCATCCTTCAGCTTATCAGCAGCACTTCAACTTCAAGTGATGGAAGTTAGTACTAAAAAGCCCGAGAGGAAATGATCATTAATCTTTCGTTGTTTCCCTTGCAGAGCCTAAACTCAGCAAGCCCGCACGCATCGAGAACTGGACCCTCTCGTCAAGCTTGCTTGCAAAGGATGAAGTAAAGTATACCATAAACTTCGAAGTGGACGCTGATTTTGGTACCCCTGGGGCAGTCGTGGTTCAAAACAACCACAGCTCTGAGATCTATTTCGTCTCCCTGTCCGTCAGAATGCCCAGGGGAAGCAAAGTTCAGTTCCCCTGCAACTCGTGGGTGTACAGGAGCAGTGGCTTCGATTTGGTCCCAAAGCCAAATCGCATCTTCTTCAGCAACCACGTAAGGGATAGAATCTGTCTGAAAGCTTGCAAACAAACGTATACAACAATTTCTTGTTTCTCGCAGCTGTACCTGCCACAGGACACACCGCCGTCTCTAGTACCCTACCGCGAAGCCGACCTCAAGCAGCTCCAGGGCAATGGTACGGGCATCCGGCAACACTCGGAAAGGATTTACGACTATGACATTTACAATGACTTGGGAGGCATTGGGAGACCAAAGCTGGGGGGATCCAAGGAAATGCCATACCCGCGAAGGTGTCGTACGGGTCGCATTCAAGGCCTTCTGGGAGGTAACCCACAGTTCGATACATTTCTAATACTGTGCTTTTGATTGTGAAACCAACAGAGGAAACGTATCCAGGCGGTCAGAACCCATTTCCTATACCGTTTTTCTACATTCCCAGTGATGAGTATTACAGCTCGTCCAAGACCGCCAGCGTCCTTGTGAAGACCGTCAAGAGCTTCTCTCACACGTTTATTCCCATGCTAACATCGTTTGGAGGGCTCTTGGACAAATACTTTGATTCGTTTCAGGACGTGGAGAGCCTGTACGACCGCGGGTTTGACCTGTCGAAGCTGGCCTTGGGAGCAATCGAAGGGATAGACTCGCCGTTGGACATACTCAACGATCTGTCGACTGATCACACCAATAAGAGCTTGCTCAAGTTTCCCATTCCTGCAGTTCTAGAAAGTAAGTAATGCACCCACTAACATGTCCACTTCTCTAAACTTCTCCGCCGTTGTCAGCTGATCGCCTGGCATGGAGATCTGATCGGGAGTATGCGAGGCAACTGCTGGCTGGAACACATCCAATCTTGATACAATGCCTAACGGTAGACAACAATGGTGTTTCCATCACATTCTTAACATCGCCTTGTACTCAGGAATTCCCTCCAACCAGCGGCTTGGGTGATGAGTATGGCCCAAGGAAATCAACTGTAACAGAGGAACACATCTCTCGTTTCTTGGAGGGGACGACAGTGCAAGAGGTCTGAAGCGATCTCATCAGTGAAGTCACTTGTTACTTACATGTCTCTCAAGAGGATGCTTGCAGGCAGTCGCAAACAAAAAACTGTTTTTGGTGGACCTTCACGACATCTTCATGCCTTACATTGAAAGGATCAACAAGATCCCAGACATCTACATGTATGCAACCAGGACATTCCTGTTCCTCAGGGGGGATGGAACGCTCAAGCCCATCGCCATTGAGCTGAGCACTCCCAGTTCAAGGAGAGTCCTCGTCCCACCCCAAGAAGGAGAGACCGACTATTTGTGGGAGCTCGCAAAAGCACACACAGCAGCAAACGATTCAGGAGCTCACCAGCTTGTTGGCCACTGGTATGGAGCGAGAAAAGTTTGGCCCGAACTGAGTATCACTAACTTAGGTATACAGGCTCAAGTGCCATGCATGTATGGAGCCGTTTATCATTGCGGCGCACAGGCAGCTGAGTGCCCTTCATCCGATCTTTGCCTTCCTGAAGCCACACATGAAGTACACATTGCAAATCAATGCACTTGGTAGGCAAGTACTTATTAGTGCGTCAGGAATTGCCGAGCAAGGTTTCACCCCGAAAATGTATTGCATGGAGTTGACGTCTCAGGCCTACAAGTCGTGGAAGTTTGCCATGGAAGGCCTCCCTGCAGACCTTATAAAAAGGTAAGGCCTTGCACTATACATCCTTCTAACATTGGTCTCTTCAAAACAGAGGGATGGCTGTTCCAGATCCTGCTGCAAAACACGGCATGAAGCTCGTCATTGAGGATTATCCATATGCGGCAGATGGTCTCGAGATATGGTCTGCGCTGACGAAATGGACCCAGGAATATGTGGACGTACACTACAAAGACGATGCCACAGTTCAGAACGATGCCGAGCTCCAAGCTTGGTGGAGTGAGGTGGTGAACGTTGGGCATGGCGATCTGAAGGACGACCCGACATGGTTCAAGATGGACTCCAAACTGGGCCTGACGGTGGCACTGACAACTTTCATATGGATCACGACTGCAAACCATGCGGCTGTTAACTTCAGTCAATATGCATATGCTGGGTTCATCCCAAATCGTCCCACTGCAACTCACTTGCCAGTTCCAGAAAAAGGATCCACGGAGCACCGAAAGCTTTTAAGAAATCCGGAAGAGTACTATTTCAAAGTGATATCAAACAAGATGGAGTCGTTTGTAGTGATGAGCGCCATAGAGGTTTTATCAGGCCATGCCGACACCGAGGAATACATTGGGCAGCGACATATTGATATCTGGACCGACAACGAAGAGGCACTCGAGGCGTTTGACAGGTTTGCAGAAGATATCGACAAAGTTGGTGAGACCATCTTGAGCAGGAACAAAGATCCATCCTTCAAGAACAGGCATGGCCCTGTAAAGGTCCCATATAAAGCACTGTACCCAACGTCTTCTAAAGGCATCACGGGACAGGGAGTGCCAAATAGCATTAGCATATGAAAGAAAAACCTAAAAACAATGTATAAAAAATGTTTACTTAAAAAATGCGAAAACACACTTTCAAGGGAAAAGACGCACAGAGGGTTATTTCTGGATCTCAATCAAGTCAGAGAGTATGAGAAGTGTGAGCCTTAATACAACCTACTGGAGGAATACCTCTTGAGTTCTCCAGATTTGGCTGCTTGGCCTATGTGCATAGAAATTGGATGTACATAAAAACCGATGTGGACTGCAGTCATAGAGCCAGTGGACTTGCTAATATATTCAATTTTTACTTTACCTATTTTGAGATACCTTAAGGCTGAAAAATTTAATTTATGCTATATTTAAGTGTGTGTGTCTATATATATGTGATATAATGCTTCTTATAGAATATGCATGTATAATAAATAATAACTTACATTTAATGTGTTTCATCTATTATTAAAACTTTAAAAATTTTAGATTTTAGTTTTATATTATAAACGTGGAATTTGATTTATATTAAATTTAAATATTATAATAAAAATGAAATAATATGACTTCAATAATGGTATCCTCCTTGAATTCTTCAGTCAAATCCTCCCTCTTTATAGCTATTTATTCTTCATAGTTATAAAGAGAAAATTATTCTTTTTAAATTTATATTAGACTTAAAATATATAAAGTCTAGCCATTCCTGCATATATCACATTAACTCGTGATTAAAGAGGTGGTTAGGGTAGTGATGTGAGATGGTAGAACTATAGCATATATAGAGAATTCTAAGATTTCAAGAATTTCAGGAAGCAATGGGTTAAATTAAACTTCACCTAAATTTTGTGTTTAATAGCATCTTTTGGAGTGTGCTTAAAGTAAATAGTGTTTTGTTTGGCTTTGATTGAAATGTGTTTACATGGATGTAAGTTCTTTTGTTTGAATAATAAGTGTGTTTAATGTCTCAAGTACCTCATAATATTTTATAGCATGTGAGTTAGATTTTGAGTGCATTTTAGATGTTATAAGCTAAAATTTCTATTTGGGGCTATTTCTTTGGTGAAAATAATGATAAGTGTTTTTCCTAAACGCAATAAATCATTACTATGTTAAAAAATTTAATATATGTGAAAAATCAATAAAACTAACAATTTATCATGGTTGCAACTTGTTTGTAGCAAAACTAACGCAACATCCAAAGAAATGTTTTGCCCTTATTGTTATATGTAAGCAACCAAAGAAAAAAATTCAAAAGACAATCTATAAAGATTCAAATATAAAAAGAAAGTGTTCATAAACAAAAATGCATATTTTTTCCAATTGGTTAAATGTTTAGGATATTTGGGATTAACGCTTTTTGGGTTTGAATAATTCACTTGAATAACCTCTTGAGATTTTTTATATCACTCATTGCAATCAAAATATGCCTACAAAACACAAAAAATAAGCTACAGCTGTGTGAAATGAGATACACTTGGTAATCTAAGGTATTATGCTTTATATATATAGATGATATACACCATAAAGAAAATATTGTACATACAAACATGTTTTGATTGCTTACATAATAATTAAAAAGTATTTGTGTAATATTTTTGCATCAACTAAAAAAAAACCTCCATATATATATGTAAATATATAATTCTTTTACATATTTGTTGCCATAATTATCTAGTTGACTCTAAATGTTAAACATACAACATAAGTCAAGTGTTCGAATCCTGTAACAGGTAGGATCAAATTTGTAATTTTTCAAATGAGGGGTATAAATGTAATTTTCCCTTTATTCTATTCTATTCTATAATGCCAAAATTAAATTGTTGTTAATGTCATTAACCCTTGGTTCCTAAATGTTATATAAGTCACTAGACATAGAATGGATGCAAAATCTGTATGGTAGTGGTCAGTGTTGGATCAATGCTTCTCCATTGCCTTCGTAATACATCCAAATGGTGACCCAACATCCTAGATCAAGCTCCAAGCCACCAGCAGCTTCTACAAGGAGGATCAGAAGAGCATGTTTAGCCTCCAGCCCTGGGAGAATGGATGCCTACACTTCTAAGTCATGATTGGCAAGGTGAATTAAAGTCAGTGGAAGGATTTCCAATTGCAAGGTCCATGGCTGCATTAATGTGCTTCATTTCGCCAATGTGAACACCATGTATGAGAAATGTATAGAGATTTGCAACAAATACCCAACCATGCAAATGAGGATGTGTTTTGCCTCCTCTCCCACCCAGGAATAAATATTTGCTTCTATTCCCTTCCTTACAGCATTTGCCTGAAATGGCATTTTGGTGTTCTTCCTTTCTCTCTTTGTTTTCTCTTCCTTTACTTTGTCTTTGGGATGGCTAAAATTTACTTTTTGCTTTGCTTAAGCAAACCTAATTGAGATGGTAGTGGATATATCTAGAATATACTTGAATATTCTAGGATATTCTACCATCTAATGGTTGCTATTCATTTAGATTATCTTGTATTTATAATTTATAAACATGTTTATAATTTATATACTTTCTTAAACCCATTCTAGTATATTCTTTTTTATTCTATCATATTATTAAGCAAACCAAGCATTACTACATGCAACACATAACAATTTATTAATAAATTATTTTTTCTAGTGGGTTTTACGAGCTCTTTTTTTAGTTTGTGGCATTTACCTTTACTTGTTCTAGAATGCTTTTGGCATACCAAAGTGTTTGATTTCACTCTTTTTGGCATTTAGATTTCTTAGAACTTTTCTTTTCTTTCATAGGCTTTGATGTTGTTTTTCCTTGAACTGATGGATTCATTTATACCTTTTTTTAATTCTTTTGGCATACCAAAGTGTTTGCTTTCACTCTTTTGAATTCTATGCAGTTTTGCTATTGTTCTTCCTCGAACTGATGGATTCAATGTAAAAACCTGTAAATCAGGTGAAGTATGATGACAAGAAGAGGCTATAGATGGTGTTGTTCCTCCGGTTGACAAGGAAATGCTCAAGCATCACGCTAGAACTCTAATGCATGATTTTGCAGCATTGATCCTCTTGCTTTTGAAAGCTAAGTTCTTCTTGCGAAGTGATGCTCACAACTCCAATGGGCTCACATATCTTGCTCAGCTCTGAAGAGGTGATTGAAAGTTTTTTCTTGTGAGAAAGAATGAAATGTGATCATTGACTTTTCAAAGGTTGACAAAGCCAAATGCCGGAGGCTGGGGTGTGTCAAAAAGACAATAGGAAATTATAGTCTACTCACTAGTACTCCAGCTGATGCTATCTCAGATTATCGACACCACTATGGAGTTGTCAAGACACACTAGTGATTCACTTTGGAATGCTGGCTTTGAGTTTCAAATGATACATACCACCTGTATAGTTGAATGGCTTCGTAGTATTTATATTGCACCTCATCCTTGAGAAGTATGTCTGTTCCACACCTAGGGTTACTTGCACACTTCATATGTCAGAAACAAAGTTGAAAGATGGTGAGAAGAACTTGAGATCTTGCAACAAGAGCGCAAATACTACAATTCTCACTTTATGTTTTTCTTTTGTCCTATCCTATGGATATCCTATCAAATCCTATGGCATGGGAGTACCTTAACAATTCTTCAATCAAGGTATCTGAAAAAAATTCTCTTGCACTTGTGTGTCTAACTTGTGTGTGTCCTTTCTTCCTACTCATCAAGAGGAGAACAAACTCCAAAAGCTCGAAGATGGCCACAAGGAGAAGAACAATTTGCACTATGATTCCTAGGTGGAAATTGCACTCTAATGATATATCCCTAGCTGAGATGTTAAAACTTAAAATGCCTCAGCTATAAATATGGAACTATTATCTAAGAAAATTCATTTTGGATAGAAATGCTGAAACACCACTATAAGGAATTAATTCACGAAAATGCCATAAATTAAAGGATCCCTTGAAATCACAATCAGAACAATAAAGAGTTCATATATAATTGTATTTTAGTTTTACAACATGATTTTAATCTAGTTTTTTATCATGGTAAAATTTTTTTATGGGCTACTAACACATATTGCTTAAATCAACCAATGTTCGCTATCAACAATATTTTCTGTCCAAAATAATTGTAATATGGTTCTCTATGAAACTAGATATCCAAATAAAATTCTATAGGCATTAGAAACTTCAAATCATGTTTTATGTTATTTATAATAATAAAATATACAACTATTATTATCTTATATTTCAATTATTAAATATTAATAATAATTACTCCTCCAAGTTCATTTTTTTCATTTTTTCCTTGCAGATCAATATGACAAGAAATTTGTGATGGCAATGTTTTGGAGGAGGTATACCTAGGGTAGGCAGTCTAGCAAAAAATGCAATTAGGACATGCATTGAAAAGAAATGGACACAAATTGTTTATTTACTTATGTGCAAATGTTATGTTGCAATGCTCCTTGCTCCTCAACACAATCACTACAAAAACCATAAAGTTAAAAAATAAAGGTTTACACTATTACTTTGCAACATATCTAAACATAACGAACCATTATAATGCTAAAACCTACACACATGATTAAAAACACAAAAAATTGATAGAACCAAAACTACAACATGATTCACTTGCTTGTTAAAAAGCCATTATGCTCAACACCCTCAGCACCCAAAGAAAAGATTTATGCTTGCTTTTGCACTCCAATTGATTGTGCCCACCTTAGTGTCAATCAATCACTACTTAAATTAGTGCATCACGTTGCAAACAAGCTGCAAGAAATAAGAGGCATTTGTAAGAGCAATCAAAACATGGTGCTTCTATTAGAGCACATTAAAATTGAAATACACTTCCAAACCGTGAGAAATAAAGTATAGTTGCACAAAATAAGAGGTAAATACAAAGGAGGAGAGAGGTGGTCATAATTAGGAAATCATAAATTTCTATTTAATAACATAAGAATGAGGAAAAGAAACCTGTTAAATTTTAAATTAGTGATGTTATGTTGTCTAAGATGACATGGCATTAATTTTGCATGGCAATCTGAAGTGTCATGCCCCATGCATACATGGCATATTCCATGACAATTCATATATCACATTTTGATCTACAAATGTGTAAATACATAATGCATGCATATTCATTGCTATAGATCAAGGCCAAATCATGGAAAAGTCTCTCTTGACAGCTACCAACTATCACTATCTTGTTAGTAAATAAGTTTTTTTTAGACCTACACAGAATAATATTGACTAAATTTCTTGTCTAATAGACAATTTATCGTACTGACCTTTTTAGTGTATTAAATAGTACCTCCATAATAAATTTTAGATGAAAAATCATTTGTCCTCTTTTAGCTCTCTTCTTGCTTCTTCAATAGCTGCAGCAGTAGATTGATTAATAAGGATTTGAATGTTTAATATAACAAGGACAATCTCAAGAGTCAAATCACTCGTTTGTTAAATTTGCTGAGGTATACTAGCCGTATATATTCTTAAAATATTCTTCATTTTTATCTATATACAAATAAAACTTTGTTGTGTTATTGAAAATATGTCAAATGGTTATTTAGGGCATCAAGCTGTAACATTAAAAAAAGCAAAAGAGAATCTGGAACTCTGCAGCACTTTTTCGGGTCTCTACTTTGCAATGGGTTTGCCTCAAGCAAATGTGAGGTGCTCATATACTTGGACATGGCTTTCGCCAAATCCGTTGCCGTATATGATTAATACATATACCTTTAGAAGAAGCTAAACATATATTTGATTCTATGCTAGGGCTACGCTAGCAAGTTTTTCACATTTTTGTTGTTTAGAAGATGCTGACAAAAAAAAAAAACCTCGCATTTTCAGCAGAATTTGTCCGACATAATGCTTGAAGACTCTGAAGAATGGGAGACATGAAACGAAACGGGAGAGCTTTCACGCATCACGACGGCCATTCTTGCTTCGCGACAAGCGTAGCGTCTCCACTCCTGGATTCCCCTGTAATGGTAGTCCAAGTTACTTCGTTAGCTTCAAAGTTCCAGCGCTTTGTCATACCTTGAACCCGCTGGTTAGCTCTGCTGAGAAGATCGACAACGCAGTGGAAGTGTTCCACTTCGGGGACGATGCCGTATCTGGATGGCATTTCGTGGAAGAACTTCTTCCCTGCAGCTGGTTAGAACTGCGAGAGCTGTGATACCATTCGGTTTGATGCCAGAGTTTACCATCTCGTGAAACAGCATCAGCGCTTGGCTTGCGTCCCCTTGCCTGCCGTATCCGGTGATCAGCGCACTCAAGGCCTCGTCACCATCTCCCGGTAGCGAGTCAAATACCTGGCGAGCGGAAACCATGTCTCCCGCTTTGCCGTGAAAGTCAACCAGGGATCCAGCCAAATCTCCATCTTCCTCAAAGCCTCCACGGTAGATCAGAGCCTTGACTTCGCTCCCAAAGCCTAGACTCGAAGGAATACTGTTGCTGCAAGCTTTCAGTACCGCGACGTACGTTGATGCGTTTCGTCGGCAGCCTTCGCGTCTCATCCTGTGGAACAGCCTCAAAGCCCGTCTAGCATCGGCGTTCTCCGCGAAGCCCAGGATCAAGACGTTCCACGAGACCACGTTGCGAAGCTGGCCGGTATCGCTCGAGAAAACTTTGCTGGAATCCGCCAGACTCCCACACTTGGCGTACGCATCGATCAAGCTGCTCGTCATGTAAGCGTCCCACTCGGAGGCTTCCAGCTTCGTCACAGCTTCACGATGAACAGCCATGGTGATTTCCAATGCTCTCATTCGATCGCTTTCCTTGTTCTTAGCTGCGAGACTGCCACAAGCCTTGAAAGCCGCGACGACTGTCAAGCTGGTTGGAGAAACACCTTCGCACAAGAGAGCCTCAAACAGCTCTAGAGCAGCCTCACTTTCGTCGTTCTGTGCGTATCCCGAGATCACTGCGTTCCAGATAACAACGTCGCGATGCTTCACACGGTCGAAAACTCTGCGAGAATCGGCCATGCTCCCACACTTCCCATACATGTCGACCAAGCAGTTTGCCACGTACAAGTCTTCCAGATCAAAGCCTCGCTCTGATACCAGCGAGTGTACCGCCATTCCTGCTTCCAGCGAACTCAGCTTCACGATCTTGCCTCACGATCCCATCGACTTGCCTTCCCTGTTCTTGAGTCGAGAGGGTACAACAAGCCTTAAGCGCAGCCACCAAAGTCAGCCTGTCCTGTACGCAGCACCGAGAGTGTAGCAAATCTCCAAAGAGTTGAAGGGCCATCTTTCCCTCATCGTTCTCAGCATAGCCCAGGATGATCGTGTTCCAGGAAACCACATCCCAGCGCTGCATCTTATCGAAAACTCTCCTCGCATCCACCATGCTTCCACAGTTTGCGTACATGTTGAGAAGAGCGTTGGCCACGAATATGTTTGAGTCACATCCCAGTCTCTCGGCTGTGTCGTGGATCGCCACACCCGTGACTAGAAACCTGAGCTTCTCCTGTGCATTCCGAGCTTCTTCCTTGGCTGCGAGATTGCTACAGGCCTTGAGAGCAGCGACAACACTCCAGCTATCGAGCTGACAGCCTCGGGACGACACCATCTTCGTAAACATCTCGAGAGCTAGCTCCTCGTTCTCACCACTCTGTGCGTAGCCGAGCATCAATACGTTCCACGAGACCACATCCCGAGTTTTCATCCTGTCGAAAACCTCTTGAGCACGCACCATGCTCCGGCACTTCACGTACATGTCGATGAGAGCATTCCCCACGTAGACGTTGCGATGGATAGCATCTATTCCCATCGCAGCCTCGGCCTGACGATGAACTTCCATGCCTCGTTGCAGCGAAAAAACTTTCACCATCCTCCCATCAACTTTCCGGCCTTCTTCGGCAGCTGCGAGAGTGGAGCACGCAGCGAGCGCAGCGGCAAAAGTTCGAGGGTTTGCTCCGCAGCACTGTTGCATCGATCGAAAGAGCTGCAAGGCCACCTCGGCCTCGCCATTCTCCGCATAGCCCGAGATCAAAGCGTTCCAGCACACTGCGTCGGGGCGAGGAATTCTGTCGAAGGCCTGCTGTGCTTCCACCACGCTCCCACACTTCATGTACATCGCCACCAAGCTACTGGCTACGTGAGAGTCCGAATCCACACCACTTTCTCTCGCGTTCGCGTGGATTTGCCGGCCACTTTCGACGTCTCTAGCTCTGGAGCACGACTTTAGCGCCGCGAGGCAAGCGCTTCTCTCGAGCTGATGAGCGTTGCCGGTACTAGCATAAGTTTTCGTATCGGCTGTGAGAACTTTAGGATCCAGCGAAGTCCTGGACAGCATAGCGAATGGTTTTGTCACAAGGATAAAAAATGTTTGGCTCTACCTTCCAGCATCAAAGCCTTCGAAATTTTTCTTTCATTGATTCGAGACATCGTGAAGAGAGTGTTTGCTCCCGTTCTTTCCATCCAGATTGTTCTAGAGTTTGGCAATCCTCGATGCTAGAAATCAGGTCCTGAACTCCGTTCTACATTGCCGAGAATCTCATTCTGGCAGCTTACCGGATCGGCCAGGGCGAAGCAGCGCCCTCGCGCGCGCGATGCGATGCGATGATAAACCCTAGAATTTATTTGGAATCAATGAGCTTTGAATAATTTTATTGCGCATTGCCAGAGTTGACTCTGTATTGACTTGCATTGACTAGGTGGGCTCATCTTATTTGGGTGGGAAGAAGATGGCGTCGTTTGTCCTGCGAGAACGCAGCTCCTTCTCAACTCCATCTTCCACGTTAAAAGCCGCGCAAATCGTTTTGGGCGACAAGCTCTTGATCACGCCAGTTCTTCCAGCGAGATGAGGGAACACTGGCCTGTTTTTCCAGCAAAAAATTGGGTCGATCAGAACCTCTGAAGGAAAAAAAAGAGAAAACTTACTTCTCGGTGGTGATGATCGAGAACCATTCCATTCCATTTTCTCCTGCTCGCTTTGAGACGACGTGGAATCGTGGGACGATAAACAGGCAGCCGGGCTCCAGCATATGATCGATCACTCTCTCGCCATTTTAGTTCACGACTTGGACTCGAAAGCTTTCACGGACAATGTAAGTGACTTGGTACGCGGAGTCGGAGGAAAATCCTGGCGAGCACATCGCATGCTGTAAGAAATTCACGAATGTGATTATAAGATCCAAGTGATCAGCTAAAACTTACCGGATCAAGCTTGACGAGATCAGCGCCAAGACCGACGTGCTTGAAGATCGGCAAGCTATCGCTGGAAACAACGGAAACTCTGCCTCCGTTTTTTATATCCACGTCGAGCTTTGCCTCCTCGCAGTTGTAAGCAAACTCTCCATAGGGAGAGTTGCTCAAATCGGTTGTCTCCGGCATAGAAATGCCTTCCTTGAGCAAAACAATCCTCTCCTCCTTCTGGCTATGGAGCAAAGTATTCACCGTTTCTTCTGGGACATCCCATGCTTGGGCGATGAAGTCCGGAGTAACACCTTTGAGAAGTCCATCGCTACCAGGACCGACCAGGAAGAAATCCTACAAGCGGATTGATTTATCAGTGTGTCACAACAAGACCAAAAAAAAAAAAAAAAAAGAAAATCCAAGAAGAACTTACAGTGAATTCTCCAGCTTTGAGGCTTTTGCTCGTGTCTCCGAGACACAAAACACTAAACTTCGAAGTGCCAGAGTTAAACCACCAGTTGACAGTGCCGTGAGGAACAGACGCATCCGCCGGGACTCTCCGCAAAAGTCAGTCCTACTTTACCATTCCTGGACGAAGACCGGAATTTAGCATGCATGAGAAAAAAATTCACATCCTAGAAAATCAATCGCTTACCTTCGAGCACATAAAAGATCTGATTAGAATCGGCGATTTCGGCGACCCCAACCCGAGCTTCCTTCAACATCTTGGAGTGGGCGCTGAGCCAAAACTCGTAATTCCCGCCATCGTTGGCGCAGAATCTCGCATTGGGAGATTGTGGCGTGAGATCGACATCCAGATGAGCTGCGGCCATCGCAAGAACAAACCCAGCTATTCATATAAGGACGTCGACAACGGACGGTTGGGATTCCTCTCGCGACATGCTTTGGCCTTAACCTAATCGCTAAACGTGAATTTAATTACCAAAATGTTCTATAGAATAAGCCACTGTCCTTTCCGTATTATTTGAAAAATCATATTCCATGATATCGAGCGATCATTTTCTATTCACGTTGTAATCGTATCCAGACGGGGAGTACGTCCATGGGAATGCTGCCGGATGTGAGAGTTCACACTTTATCAACTCGATTGTTTCTCCACTTTGACCATATACCAAGCTTGGAGAATGATCGGAGCAAAACAACCATTTCTCATATTTGCAATGCCATCCTTCTTGGAAACACAAGCTCCAGCTTGATATATCTCATCTCTGGTAGCAGTATTCTGGTTAAAGAGTTAAACATTCCAAACTTCAAGACTTACCGATGTACATTCCACTCTCAAAACCGTAACCAGAGTCCTTAATCCTTGAAGTCGTCGGAAGCCATGCTCGGTTTGAGTTTCATCAGAGTCATCAATAGTCCTGCCGACACATTTAAGACAAAACAAAAAAGATGAAAGATAATTAATCAGAGCCACAAGGTTCCAAAAATGTGGAAAGAATAAGATTTACTTCAGCGTCAGCTAGTAAGCTCTCAAGATGATCATCATCGCCTCCAGCTAACCTTGGCGTTCCACTTTGATAATGCATTATCATTTCATAAACTTCATGAGGTGATATAGCAACCCTTGGAGTAGTATTTGGTTTTATGATTTTGTAAAGGTCCAGCGTTAACGCTCCATGCACCATGATTCCTCCAGCTCTGTAAGAACTGCTTGGATACACAAGGAAACGCACTCATGAATTCAATAGAATTGTTGAGACTTACACTGCAGCGTCCAGTGATGTGTCAATAATCTCTTCCATGGCAGCACGCAAAGCATCCGGATCCAGGGATTTGTTGTCCCCAATCTTGTCACCAGCAATAGCAGTCGCCACTTCCTCAAGCACTCGAACGAATGGTTTCTTGCAACAAAACAACTGTGGTTGTGTTTGCTGGGAAGGACATCAATCTTTCGCTGCTTACTTCTTAGATCGCAACAAGATATCACAAGATCGACAGACGAAGCTGGATACATGCCAAAAAATGCAGCTTTGATCCTGGCATTGATAATGTTGCGAACGTCCTTCTCGGTCCAGGCTAGAGCACTGTCTCCAGCAACGATTCGGATCAAGCTCTGGAAGAAGAGTCGCATAAACCGGAGCCACACATTCTCACGTTCGGCAGCATAAACTCCTCGCGAGGCAAGTACAACAGACCATGGATGTATTCCCCATCTGGATACGTACCAGACGAGTCCTTTGAATACTTCGCAGAAAAGTAGTTCATCTTTTAAGCTTTTTGTTGAAGTTATACTTCTAGAGATCAATCAGAATGACAACCAAAAAGCTCAAAGGAAACACACAATCTACTCACCTTTGCTGCAAAAATATTGGAGCAAAACGAGCCTTCTTCATATTTGCAATGCCATCCTCCTTGGAAACACGAGCTGCAGCTTGATAAATCTTACCTCTTTAGCAAATTCTGGTTAAAGAACAAACCAATTGGCATGCTAGCAAAAGCGAGTTCAAGTACTGATTTTGTTAATTTTGCACACGGTTGAAAGGTGAAGAGAAATGCAGAAGCTACGATGGACAAGGATGACTCGAAGGATAGTCATATATAATATTATAGATATATATACATGGTCAAGAGACACACCTCTAGCCTACACTTGGATCAGTGAAATGGCACTACTGCCACCTAAGATCATGTTATAGAGAGTGTATACTTCAACAAAAGAGCCGTCCATTTTGACAGTGCTAGGCTTTGTGCACGAAACCACTATGCTGGTGAGCCACTACAATGTGTGGCCATTCCTCAATTGCAAGTAATACTCCACACACTGTTTGGAGAACTTGTCTAGGACCAGCTTGGGAAGCTCTGGAAGCCAATGTTTCATGGCTAGCAGCTGTGTTTATTGCTCAAAGCCCCTTTTCATATAAGTTTGCATGGGTAAAAGATGGTAATTCCACACTTGCCTTTTGGGCAACAAATGTGGAAGAACTTACATGGAGCCCAGTAACAGCAACATTCTTCTCCTGCCTTGCATAGTTGCGTATAGCAGCGTTGCCTTGGCAGAGGCGGTGGTGGAGACGGTGAAGGTGGCGGTGGAGATGGTGAAGGTGGTGGTGGTGGTGGAGGAAAATGTGACGGAGGCGGCCCTAGCTCTGTGGGATAAAACACGTTTATGTAAATCCCACACCGTCCACCAAAGATATTCGAATTGCATTCTAGTTTCATGTATCCATTCTCCCCCCACTCAGTTCCCCACGAATTTTTTATGATCCAATATTTGTCTCCATTTTCGGAACCATAGCCCACAACCAGCACTGATAAACTTCCAGATTCGGCACAGGGTCCTTTGTAAATCCCCTAGGACGGATTAGGCACGTCATTAGTCAATGTGATCATAGACTTGGATTAGAACAAACTTACTCCAGCATAGCTCTTGAACTCGGCCTTTGAGCCATCGATAACAGCAGTCAGTGGCTGATTGTGTACTGCCTTCAACATGTTTTTTTCGATTGCTTTGTCTGTTCCTTCAATGCTCTCAAATTCTTTTAGAGAAACTTTGCCTTGTTTTTCCTGCAAATTCGCAAAGCTTTTAATAGCGGCATTGTAATAAATTCATACCTTGTGCTTGCAAGCTCCAGCTTCCCCAACAAAGGGATAATCAGCTGCTGCTGCAATGCTATGAGTCCGTGCGTATTCGAAAGCGTCACTGGGAAAGCCACTTCTGCATCCCTTGGCTTTCTTAGTGCAATCTAGAAACTCCTGCGCTGAAAAATTAGCTAGACCTCCAAAGAGTATCTTATTGAGACTTGAGAGTGAGTCTCCTGTTGCAAAAGCCCAAGTACCTCCTGCAAGGAAAACTATTATTTAAAAAAGAAATTCATCAACATACCCAGACAGGATCTAACGTTTTTAATAGGAGTGATCGCACCCCTCTCCCTTCAGTCAAAAGATTTGAGACTTTTAGAGTCACCATCAGCAAAATCGTCTAGAAAGGATGTGGCTACAGGGAACCTAATGTCATTGACACCGAGGGACATTTTCGTTTCAAACTCGTCACTACTGATGTCTGAAAATTGATTCAGGCCCAGGGTGTATGAGGACACAAGACTGTTGGCATTGTGATCTAATACCATTTGGAGGTTTTGCTTGAAGATTTCATATCTTCTAGCCTCCTCCTCCTGGGATGAATACCCCTTGTTGTGATAGAGACGCCATCTATCAAAGAGGGGCCTCACAAGCTAGCTCCAGGGCTGAGAATTGGAACTGTTGAGTCACTTGCAAAACGAAAACCAGCAAAAGAAAGTAGGGGTAGGGAGCCATTTTGCAATGTGCACCGTTTTAGAGTAGAGGAATTTATATTGTGTCTTCACTCACAGCAACAAACTTAGTGGTTTATCTTGGAGACAACGAGGATGATAACAATGTGTATGGCTCAAGCTCGAGAGAAGTTGAATTGTATGTCTCATACACATGTTAAAAACGTGCGATATGAAAAAGTGTTAACACTCCTAACTGGACAGAAGAAAAGCCTCTTACAAATTGATATGGCACCGAATCATCACCCACTTCTCTGAATAGCATTAATATGTATGTTATCACCCTAGTACTAAGGTGATAACAACCTGTATATGTCTCATTGTAGGTACATTGCTGGTGAATAGTTGTCAAGGCATTATATATAAGTTCCAAATAACAATTCTTGGGAGGGACTACTACACAAATCTCTCTCTCTCTCTCTCTCTCTCTCTCTCTCTCTCTCTCATATCTTGTTGTACCCAATTAAAAAGTATAAGAAAATAATACATCTTGGAAAATAGTTTTACATTAGTATATGAGAGATGTAATGGAATATTTTTATCACTCTTGGCCTTTCTAGTCTTGAGTTTGGAATGGTGTTTTAAAACAATAACGTTTTAGTCAAGCAGCTATTTTCTCAAGACATTATTCTATATTTTGTAGACAGCTTCACTACATTAAATCCATTTGACAAGCCATGCAATCACCTTGAAAAGATCTCTCTTTGTAAAGAAGTAAATATTTTTTATGTTGTGAATCCTTTAGGAGTAGTCACAAATGCTGTGAGTGAGGCGATTAGCCTCAAGATCATCCTTCAGCTCATCAGTTGTGGACACAATGTCATAATTAGTGGTTTATCTTGGAGACAATAAGGTTGAGCAATGTGTGTGGCTCAAGCTCAAAAGAAGTTGGTGTGTATGTCTTGTTATATTGAATTAGAACATGCACTCATATAGTCCACTGTTGATAACCTAACTGAATAATAGGAAAAGGGTAAAAAAGTTTTTAAAAATAAAACATCTTCTATTTGAGGGAAATTTAAGGGAAATATAGATTCTGTGGCTGAAACAAGTGCTGATGGAAAATCCATGGAAGAATAAAATTAATTGCACAACTTGAGTTTTGATATTTAAAATGCCAAAACTAAAGGCCCAAATACTGTTATTTGGAACTTATATACAATGGCTTGATGATTATTCACCAAAGATGTACGTGAATTGAGACATAACATTGTTATCACCCTAATACTGGTGGCTAGGTACTGATGGCTAGATATGCTTTTTTATATGCAATCCTTGGTATAAAAAAATTTAGAAGTTTTGATTTGACATGATGTGCATAATTCCTTTTCTAGGCATATGTTTTTTATATGCAATCCTTAGTATAGAAAAATATAAACAATTAGTTCTTTTATTCTCACATGGATTTTCCATTAACACTTGTTTCAGCCTACCCCTTAGATTTCCCTGCTATCCAGCCAAAAGTCAATTTGACAAGCCATGCAATCACATTAACATTATCTCTCTTTGTAAAGAAGCAAAATATTCTTGATGTTGTCACAGATGCTGTGAGTGACGCAATTGGCCTCAAGGTCATCCTTCAATGTCACAATTAATGGTTTATCTTGGAGACAATGTGTGTGTGTGGCTCAGGCTCAAAAGAAGTTGGTGTATATGTCTTGTTATATTGAATTACAACATCCACTCATGTAGTCCGCTGTTGACAATCTAACTGAATAATTGGAAAAGGGTAAAACAACTTTAAAAAATAAACATCTTCTATTTGCTGGATAGCAAGGAAATCTGAGGTGAACATAGATTTTGTGGGCCAATAGAAAATCCAAGGTGAGAAAAAACTAATTGCACAAATTGCAAGAGCTTGAGTTTTAAATTAAAACTCAAATAAAGTTTTTTATATCAAGGATTGCATGTATCTGGCCACCAGTACTAGGGTGATAACAATGTTGGTATGTTTCAATGCACGTACATCTTTGGTGAATAGTCGTCAAGCCATTATATATAAAGCCTAAATAACAGTACTTGGGAGGGACCTCCATGTGCACAATTCCTTTTCTAGGCACACTTTTTTTATATGCAATCCTTAGTATAAAAACATATAGAGGTTTTGATTTGAAACTCAACTCTTTCAACCTGTGTAATTATTTCTTTTATTCTCACATGGATTTTGCATCGACACTTGTTTTAGCCACAACATCTATGTTCCCCTCAAATTTTCCTGCTATCCAACAGAAAGTGAATCTGACAGACCATGCAGTCATCTTGAAAGGATCTCTCTTGGTAAAGAAGCAAAATAGTTTTGATATTGTGAATCCTTTGGGAGTAGTCACGGATGCTGTGAGTGAGGCAATTGGCCTCAAGGTCATCCTTCAGCTTATCAGCATCACTTCAACTTCAAGTGATGGAAGCTAGTACTAAAAAGCCCGAGAGGAAATGATCATTAATCTTTCGTTGTTTCCCTTGCAGAGCCTAAACTCAGCAAGCCCGCACGCATCGAGAACTGGACCCTCTCGTCAAGCTTGCTTGCAAAGGATGAAGTAAAGTATACCATAAACTTCGAAGTGGACGCTGATTTTGGTACCCCTGGGGCAGTCGTGGTTCAAAACAACCACAGCTTTGAGATCTATTTCGTCTCCCTGTCCGTCAGAATGCCCAGGGGAAGCAAAGTTCAGTTCCCCTGCAACTCGTGGGTGTACAGGAGCAGTGGCTTCGATTTGGTCCCAAAGCCAAATCGCATCTTCTTCAGCAACCACGTAAGGGATAGAATCTGTCTGAAAGCTTGCAAACTAACGTATACAACAATTTCTTGTTTCTCGCAGCTGTACCTGCCACAGGACACACCGCCGTCTCTAGTACCCTACCGCGAAGCCGACCTCAAGCAGCTCCAGGGCAATGGTACGGGCATCCGGCAACACTCGGAAAGGATTTACGACTACGACATTTACAATGACTTGGGAGGCATTGGGAGACCAAAGCTGGGGGGATCCAAGGAAATGCCATACCCGCGAAGGTGTCGTACGGGTCGCATTCAAGGCCTTCTGGGAGGTAACCCACAGTTCGATACATTTCTAATACTGTGCTTTTGATTGTGAAACCAACAGAGGAAACGTATCCAGGCGGTCAGAACCCATTTCCTATACCGTTTTTCTACATTCCCAGTGATGAGTATTACAGCTCGTCCAAGACCGCCAGCGTCCTTGTGAAGACCGTCAAGAGCTTCTCTCACACGTTTATTCCCATGCTAACATCGTTTGGAGGGCTCTTGGACAAATACTTTGATTCGTTTCAGGACGTGGAGAGCCTGTACGACCGCGGGTTTGACCTGTCGAAGCTGGCCTTGGGAGCAATCGAAGGGATAGACTCGCCGTTGGACATACTCAACGATCTGTCGACTGATCACACCAATAAGAGCTTGCTCAAGTTTCCCATTCCTGCAGTTCTAGAAAGTAAGTAATGCACCCACTAACATGTCCACTTCTCTAAACTTCTCCGCCGTTGTCAGCTGATCGCCTGGCATGGAGATCTGATCGGGAGTATGCGAGGCAACTGCTGGCTGGAACACATCCAATCTTGATACAATGCCTAACGGTAGACAACAATGGTGTTTCCATCACATTCTTAGCATCGCCTTGTACTCAGGAATTCCCTCCAACCAGCGGCCTGGGTGATGAGTATGGCCCAAGGAAATCAACTGTAACAGAGGAACACATCTCTCGTTTCTTGGAGGGGACGACAGTGCAAGAGGTCTGAAGCGATCTCATCAGTGAAGTCACTTGTTACTTACATGTCTCTCGAGAGGATGCTTGCAGGCAGTCGCAAACAAAAAGCTGTTTTTGGTGGACCTTCACGACATCTTCATGCCTTACATTGAAAGGATCAACAAGATCCCAGACATCTACATGTATGCAACCAGGACATTCCTGTTCCTAAGGGGGGATGGAACGCTCAAGCCCATCGCCATTGAGCTGAGCACTCCCAGTTCAAGGAGAGTCCTCGTCCCACCCGAAGAAGGAGAGACGGACTATTTGTGGGAGCTCGCAAAAGCACACACAGCAGCAAACGATTCAGGAGCTCACCAGCTTGTTGGCCACTGGTATGGAGTGAGAAAAGTTTGCCCCGAACTGAGTATCACTAACTTAGGTATACAGGCTCAAGTGCCATGCATGTATGGAGCCGTTTATCATTGCGGCGCACAGGCAGCTGAGTGCCCTTCATCCGATCTTTGCCTTCCTGAAGCCACACATGAAGTACACATTGCAGATCAATGCACTTGGTAGGCAACTACTTATTAGTGCGTCAGGAATTGCCGAGCAAGGCTTCACCCCGAAAATGTATTGCATGGAGTTGACGTCTCAGGCCTACAAGTCGTGGAAGTTTGCCATGGAAGGCCTCCCTGCAGACCTTATAAAAAGGTAAGGCCTTGGACTATACATCCTTCTAACATTGGTCTCTTCAAAACAGAGGGATGGCTGTTCCGGATCCTGCTGCAAAACACGGCATGAAGCTCGTCATTGAGGATTATCCATATGCGGCAGATGGTCTCGAGATATGGTCTGCGCTGACGAAATGGACCCAGGAATATGTGGACGTACACTACAAAGACGATGTCACAGTTCAGAACGATGCCGAGCTCCAAGCTTGGTGGAGTGAGGTGGTGAACGTTGGGCATGGCGATCTGAAGGACGACCCGACATGGTTCAAGATGGACTCCAAACTGGGCCTGACGGTGGCACTGACAACTTTCATATGGATCACGACTGCAAACCATGCGGCTGTTAACTTCAGTCAATATGCATATGCTGGGTTCATCCCAAATCGTCCCACTGCAACTCACTTGCCAGTTCCAGAAAAAGGATCCACGGAGCACCGAAAGCTTTTAAGAAATCCGGAAGAGTACTATTTCAAAGTGATATCAAACAAGATGGAGTCGTTTGTAGTGATGAGCGCCATAGAGGTTTTATCAGGCCATGCTGACACCGAGGAATACATTGGGCAGCGACATATTGA